ATGGGCACCGCAGTGCAGTGACAGGCAGTGCAGTGACAGGCAGTGCAGTGACAGGCAGCGCTGCTCAGATCCTTCAAGGCTGTTGCCAGTGTCTCCTGTTACTTAACTTAAGGACCAGAGGAGCACAATCACTGGGTGACCGGCCCCCGCAGAGCGGATGCTGTGGCTCGGCCCTGGGGCTCTGTCCAGGCTCTTTTCCAGTGTCAGCACCATTACAAAACCATCCCCAGTTCAACAGACCCTCCCAGGAAGCTCATTTTAGAGCTTCTCAGGCACATCCCCTATATTGACTTCACCCACTCCTCCAGACTCATGCTAGCCCCTTCCTTCCCTACTGTTCATTCACCTCTTTGGAGGTGAACAAACAGTAACATCCAACCTTCGTCACTCTTCCAACTGGCTCCATTTCTGTCCCCTCCTTTCTGAGCCTCAGCACTGCTCTCAGTACACAGCTTCTGCATGAGCATGGCTCTCAGCCTGCAATGCAGCGCCTCGCCGCTCTCTCACTGCACAGTGTTTGGTGCAGGGATCGCAGCGACTGCATGTGTTTGGAGCAGTAACATGCTGCCTCCTTCCCCACTCTGCTCCTTCCCTGTGCTCAGCCTCCACCAGCATCAGGATGAGGAGGAAATCCCACTCCTCGCTTTCCTGACCTGACTGAGCTGTGTCAGACCAAGCAGCTGGCGCCAGGGCAAGGAGGAGGGACCAGCCTGTGGCCATCATGTCCCTCTCCAGTTCTGGCCCTGTTCTTCCCCTGCCCAAGTGCCTGTGAGGTGCAGGCAGCTCCTGCCCTCAGCCCCATCCTATGCCTTGGCCCCCCATGCTCCTTGGGGCCAGGCAGCGGGCAGGACCTGCTGACACCTCTCCAGCCTCCAGCCCCGAAGCACCCCATGCGCTGGCGGCCCAACCAGGGTCCCTGGGCAGCCCTTGGCAAGAGCAGTTCAAAGGGGGAGTGACACAAGGCCTTCTGTGCTGCAGCTTGAACCTTGGCTCGGCTCTGCAGCTGTGACACTTATCTGGCTTAAGGGATCAGGCACAGGTTGTGTAAATAGGGCCAGGGCTCTTTGAGAGCCAGCATTACCCCCAAAAGCACCCTTAAGCCGGGCTGTGGCCCTGCACGCACCCGCCTGGCCCAGCTGGGCTCCATGGCCACATCCTACAGTTTCTGCTCGCACATCCCAGGGCTCATCTGTATCCAAAATCTGCCCGCAGGCTGGGGGCTGCCTGCTCAGCCCTTGTGGGTGCCTCCACTTCTCCCTTTACAAACTGCCCCTGAGACAGAAGAGCGAGGACCTGCCAGGAAACCTTCCCGTTAAATAGAGAGGTCCCTGTCCCCAAGGCTGGCGCATGGAAGGCTGGTACAGCCAGATGAGGCCATGCCAGGAGCTGCCGCCAG